TTTTCACGCTCCCATCCTTAAGTTTAATGACGATAACTCAACCAAGTAGATTCGAACCTTCCCTCGGAAACTAACCGTCGCGCTTGTCTGGCAATATCAGCCCTTGGTTAAGTCAGATCTTCATTGATAAAAGTTCTGGGCGTATTTCGGTCGCGTTTCACAAGTTTTGATTTTGATCTGGATTGAAGAAGCAAGCGCTTTGTCGCGCTACTCACCAACCTGACGATGATCGGGCGGTGTCTCTCCTAGGGTGCAGCACGTCGCCTGGGTACCTTATGACTGATATCGATATCTACTGCTGATACATCCACTCCTATTGATTTCGCGATAACGATATCATCAATACTCTCCCCCTCTTGTTCGGTGTTGCCTGTAATGCGAATATTATTGCGGCGGGAGTATTGTTCGCTTCGATCCAAGCGATTATTTAGATTTTGGATTATTAGGTTCTTCTCGTCCAGTTTATTGTTCAGAGATTGAATGTTATCTATTCGTTACATTTCGAGATTAGCGTCTCCATTTCCTCCCTGAGCATGGGCCGGATAACTGACATAACTTCTTTTCTCTTCAGAACGTTGAGTAGTTTATCGTGAAATATATCGTCACTGCTTGCGTCTTGCATTGTGAGGGATGTGTCCGATATGTCCAGGTCTGGACTTGGCAGGTTACACTTCCTCTTGATGTCAATGTCCGACTCGGGTGTAGACACCTCGGAGCGAATGCGCTGACCTGATGATGGTGTTTTCTCCATACGAAGGACAAAATCGGGTTTATTAGTGTCCAGTAAATTAATAGTTTTTTGGTGTTTGTTCTTCCGAAACAACAGTTTAAGATAGCTGCTAGGATATCAGTGAAAACGGGTGACGTTGGCACTCGTGTTACCAGAGGCAATATTTCACTGGCTTGATCTTCAAATACAATCAGCCAAATATCTCACAGTTTAACAGCCATCCTTACATAAAATATTATTTGTCAGTATATAATATTGATTTAGCTTACATGCTGCACATATTTGGTCGCAAAAGTTACTTCATTATCCACCAATCTGGGAACATTTACACCACTCCATGAGAGCTGGTAACAATGCGTCCATTCATCGTGACGCCACTTCCTTCACATAACCCTACACATGGAAGTTGGTGACACTAAACATGTTTTAATTTGGTTGTTAAATGTTTAACTCCACACTATTCCAGCTATATGGCGGCGGTATGTAAATAATCGAGTCTGAACCAGACAATCCAGTGATTGACATCTTGAGCATCGATCTACGCAATTTGGAAAGGATGACATGCATCGAGTTATGCGAGTCAGGGAGCCCGACCACCCGATCCCGTTTGTCGCATCTTATAACAAGCATGGGTCGCTGAAGATCAATTCACGGGGCACTAAACATGCAGTTTGGTGATACTATGCATGTAAGTTGGTGAAACTAAACTTGTAGCTACATAACACTATGTTTGTAAGTTAGTGAGACCAAACATGTAGCTAGGAGACATTGATCCAAGTGACACTACTTGTAAGTTGGTAATACTTAACATGTAGCTAGATGAAACTATGCATGTAAGTTGGTGATGCCAAACATGTAGCAAGAAGATATTATGCATGTAAGTTGGTGAAACTTATCATGTAGCCAAGTGACACTATGCATGTAAGTTGGTGACACTAAACATGTAGCTCGGTGACACTATGCATGTTAGTTGGTGATGCTAAACATGTAACTAGATAACACTATGCATGAAAGTTGGTGATGCTAAACGTGTAACTAGATGACACTATGCATGTAAGTTGGTGATGCTAAACATGTAACTAGATAACACTGTGCATGAAAGTTGGTGATGCTAAACGTGTAACTAGATAACACTATGCATGAAAGTTCGTGATGATAAATATGTAACTAGATGACACTATGCATGAAAGTTCGTGATGATAAATATGTATCTAGATAACACTATGCATGAAAGTTCGTGATGATAAATATGTAACTAGATGACACTATGCATGATAATTGGTGATGCTAAACGTGTTGCTAGGTGACACTTTGCATGTAAGTTGGTAACACAAACCATATAGCTAAGTGATGTATGTAAGTTGGTGATGCTAAACGTGTAACTAGATGACACTATGCATGTAAGTTGGTGACACTAAACATGTAACTAGATGACACTATGCATGTAAGTTGGTGACACTAAACATGTAACTAGATGACACTATGCATGTAAGTTGGTGATGCTAAACGCGTAACTGGATGACACTATGCATGATAGTTGGTGATGCTAAACGTGTTGCTAGGTGACACTTTGCATGTAAGTTGGTGACACAAACCATATAGCTAAGTGATGTATGTAAGTTGGTGATGCTAAACGTGTAACTAGATGACGCTATGCGTGTAAGTTGGTGACACTAAACATGTAGCTAGATGACACTATGCATGTAAGTTGGTAACACTAAACATGTAGCTCGGTGACACTATGCATGTTAGTTCGTGATGCTAAACGTGTAACTAGATGACACTTTGCGTGTAAGTTGGTGACACTAAACATGTAGCTAGGTGACACTATGCGTGGAAGTTGGTGATGCTAAACGTGTAGCTAGATGACACTATGCGTGTAAGTTGGTGACAAAAAACAAATAGCTAAGTGATGTATGTAAGTTGGTGATGCTAAACGTGTAACTAGATGACGCTATGCGTGTAAGTTGGTGACACTAAACATGTAGCTAGATGACACTATGCATGTAAGTTGGTGACACTAAACATGTAGCTAGATGACACTATGCGTGTAAGTTGGTGACACTCAACATGTAGCTAGATGACACTATGCATGTAAGTTGGTGATGCTAAACGTGTAGCTAGGTGACACTAAGCGTGTCAGTTGGTGATGCTAAACATGTAGCTAGATGACACTATGCATGTAAGTTGGTAACACTAAACATGTAGCTCGGTGACACTATGCATGTTAGTTCGTGATGCTAAACGTGTAACTAGATGACACTTTGCGTGTAAGTTGGTGACACTAAACATGTAGCTAGGTGACACTATGCGTGGAAGTTGGTGATGCTAAACGTGTAGCTAGGTGACACTATGCGTGTAAGTTGGTGATGCTGAACGTGTAGCTAGGTGACACTATGCGTGTAGGTGAGTGAGTTAAAGCTTTACGTCACATCGGCAATATTTCAGCCATATCGTGATATGCGTGTAAGTTGGTGATGCTAAACGTGTAGCTAGGTGACACTATGCGTGTAAGTTGGTGACAAAAACCATATAGCTAAGTGATGAATGTAAGTTGGTGATGCTAAACGTGTAACTAGATGACACTACGCGTGTAAGTTGGTGACAAAAACCATATAGCTAAGTGATGAATGTAAGTTGGTGATGCTAAACGTGTAACTAGATGACGCTATGCGTGTAAGTTGGTGATGCTAAACATGTACCTAGGTGACACTATGCGTGTAAGTTGGTGATGCTAAACATGTAGCTATGTGACGCTATGCGTGTAAGTTGGTGATGCTGAACGTGTAGCTAGGTGACACTATGCGTGTAAGTTGGTGATGCTAAACGTGTAGCTAGGTGACACTATGCGTGTAAGTTGGTGATGCTAAACGTGTAGCTAGGTGACACTTTGCATGTCAGTTGGTGACACAAACCATATAGCTAAGTGATGAATGTAAGTTGGTGATGCTAAACGTGTAACTAGATGACACTATGCGTGTAAGTTGGTGACACTAAACATGTATCTAGACGACACTATGCGTGTAAGTTGGTGACTCAAACCATATAGCTAAGTGATGAATGTAAGTTGGTGATGCTAAACGTGTAACTAGATGACACTATGCGTGTAAGTTGGTGACACTAAACATGTAACTAGATGACACTATGCATGTAAGTTGGTGACACTAAACATGTAACTAGATGACACTATGCATGTAAGTTGGTGATGCTAAACGCGTAACTGGATGACACTATGCATGATAGTTGGTGATGCTAAACGTGTTGCTAGGTGACACTTTGCATGTAAGTTGGTGACACAAACCATATAGCTAAGTGATGTATGTAAGTTGGTGATGCTAAACGTGTAACTAGATGACGCTATGCGTGTAAGTTGGTGACACTAAACATGTAGCTAGATGACACTATGCATGTAAGTTGGTAACACTCAACATGTAGCTCGGTGACACTATGCATGTTAGTTCGTGATGCTAAACGTGTAACTAGATGACACTTTGCGTGTAAGTTGGTGACACTAAACATGTAGCTAGACGACACTATGCGTGTAAGTTGGTGACTCAAACCATATAGCTAAGTGATGAATGTAAGTCGGTGATGCTAAACGTGTAGCTAGATGACACTTTGCATGAAAGTTGGTGATGCTAAACGTGTAACTGGATGACACTCTGCGTGTAAGTTGGTGACACTAAATATATAGCTAGATGGCACTATGCATGGAACTTGATGACACCAACTATGTAGCTATGTGACACTATGCATGTACGTTGGTGACACAAAACAGTAGCTAGAAAACACTATGCATGTAATTTGGTGACACAAAACAGTAGCTAGAAAACACTATGCATGTACGTTGGTGACACAAAACAGTAGCTAGAAAACACTATGCATGTAATTTGGTGACACAAAACAGTAGCTAGAAAACACTATGCATGTAAGTCGGTGACACAAAACAATAGCTAGATGACACTATGTATATAAGTTGGTGACACTGGGCATGTAGCTAAATGAAATATATAGATGTAAGTTGGTGACACTTAAGAGGCGACATTTAACATGCAAATGTAATACGTTTGATCAAATGACATTATTCCGCTTGTTACCTCTTCCAGTCAGAACATATTTAGAAATTATTATCAACATAATTAACTGACAAGTACTTTATCTATAATCAATACATCCGGGAGAAAGACAAAATTGGATGATTGCTGACATCTGGCATTAAACCCGCATTGTATACAAATACTTATATAACGAGCGTCTCTTCCGGTCGTAAATGTGGAGACCTTTAAACGTGAGCGTGAAATCAGTTCGAAATAATTTCCTGATATATTATTGGCGGGCTCAGTGGCTTTTGATCAGATTGATTTCTGTTCCCAGTATCCGTGGCCAAACGAAATCATAAGATTATGAAGTGCACTGTATTTGTAACTGCTCTGTTTGTTGTGTACGTTGTTACCATTGGTGTTGACGGTGCAAAGGATGACCACGTGTACCTGATGGAGGTGAAGCTACCGACGCTGGAAGAGAGGGGTGAAGATATCGAAATCTACCACATTAATCAGTTTCTCGGGAGCAGCTCTGGCGTCAACGACATCTACCGTTTCAAGGTACATCTATATATGTTGCTTTTCGTTTCAATTCGTTTTGTACCAGCGTTGCATCACGGCAGAGATCTTGTATTCTATCTTCTGTGATATTACTCTAACTACAGTCAGCAGTATGAAATTACTTGTCCCCCAACTAGAGTTAGCAGTATTAACATAAAAGCATGTTAACTATAGTAAGCATTTTAACTTACCAGCACACTGACTTAAGTTATCAGTTTTAAATTACTAGCACACTAACTAGAGTAAGCAATACCAAGGTACTGGCACGTTAGCTATTCTTAAGTGCATTAGCTTTCGAACGCATTTACTTTAGTTAGCAGTATTAACTCACTAATCCACTGACTATAGTTAGCAGTATTTACTAACACGCACGTTGCCTCTATTCAGCACACTTACGATAATTAGTGTTCACTGAGCAGTAGACTAGGTTTTTGGCGCTATTCACTTTCTGGCATTTTTATCATATATACTGTAATCAAAGAGTAGCATTGTTAAAGCAGCATTCACTCTCTTATAGCGTTCAGTGACGAAATGTACCAGTTTACAAAATACGCTGTTTACATAAACTTTATTGATAAACTTAGTCAACAGACAGTGTTCATTCATAAGCACACTAACTATTTTGGCATCATTAATTTAGCAGCACATCAACTATTTTCAAAGTCCTCGCCTTTTAGTTTTCGGTAAATAAGCATAATGTTCTCACCAGAATGTTTACTATTTTAGAAGAATTCAATTACAATCGAGCATGCTCTTTCTACCAAGATTCAAAGAGCGTCTTACAACAATATATGTTGCAACATTTAAGGCCTCAGTAATAGTTTGCAACAGGTTTTATGGCAGACAGTGGAGGTTGTTTCCAATTTTAACGCAAATTGTGACAAAAATGATGTCCGATGCAATTCCCTATTTTGACTTGTGTCAAATCTTCACGTGTTTGTTTGTTATCAGGTGAACAACGTACTCACTTTTATTTGCATGTGTTTGTGATGATACGCGCTCACACCTTTTTGCAAACACCTTGACTAATCACTATTCGATAGTGATTCATGAACACCTGCATGTGATGACATTGTCAGAATCGTACAATCGGTTCTTCATATTTCTCATGAATATGGAAAGTGTTTTGTCACTTTTATTCACATGTATTCTCAGCGTTTTTGCAGCATTGTCTTACTGACAATCTGTTTTTAGAGGCTTGAAGTCTAACTCTTTGGGAAGTTACTAGAATTAATGTGTAGCATTTGAACTATCAATAAATTTCTTTTGCGTTAATGTATTGCTTATCTTTCCCTTATCAATTACAAATTATCAAAAAACAGCGCTATCACTATACCCCGCTATGGGGTTCATTAAAATTTCATATAGTAGTGAATATAAACAACAAAATAGAACCTATAAAGCATTAAGAAGAGATAGGCACTTGTGACGCTTTATTTCATCAGTATAAATGATTAAATGTGAAATAATACACACTTCTCTGACAATTATCTCTGACTTGATAACTATCTCCTAGTATTAAGCTAACTTCAGTAGTCTCTGAGAAAAAAATTCCCCATTGCAGACACTATGCACGAAGTAACATAACATGGGTCAAGGGCCGTTACTCTGCAAAAACAATTGATGTGGCCGATTTTCGAACTCAGTCTTGACAAGTATCTCTTACAAAAGCATGCAAATTTCACACAGTATGCATTAAGTTGAAAACAAGTATCAGGGACCATAACACTGTGAAAAATGAATTTACGACACCAAGTTTCGAACTCATTTGAGATTGGATGTGAGATTATGACCAGTAATACCAGTGTGTAAAATTTCATCTCTCTGACTTAATAGTTTTTGAGAAAATTGGTCTTCCTTGATTAGCGGACGGACGGAAGGAAGGAAGGACGGCAGGACGGACGTACGGACACAATGAAGGATGAACACCGTTCTTACAACCCCTGCCCCACTTCGTGGCTGGGGATAATAAATTCGAAATTATTCGCCTCTGAACCAGTCATCTCATTCCATTATCATCTGGTTCATCATGTGTTAAAATCTCAGAATTGCCCTGATAGTATTTCTTGGTTCGTAAAACCATATCACTGTTTGCTGATTTGAATAAAAGTTATATATGTCTACGAGCTTCGTCACGTCGGCAATTAAACTAACAGTGTTTAGATCCGTGTTTAACCCGTCTCATGTATTAATGCATTCGGGGGCACGGGGGGCCCAGTCGTCTAAGGCGCCGCGATTCGCTGTGCAGATTTGCGTCCCTTGGGCACGCCAGAAACATATGATTGTGGGTTCGAATCTAGGTTCGCCCCGATTATGTTTCTAGGTTTGTCAGCACAATGCCCTTGCTCGTGGGTTTCACCGAAGTGGTAAACGTCTGAGACCTGCATCACTTCGGGCTTTCCTCCCACATTAAGCTGACTCGCCGTGATATGACTAGAATACTGTTAAAAGCCATGTTAAACACACCTCAACTCAACTCAACTCAATTAATGCATTCATTATTTGTGTAGGAAGCTATCTTGTCGTGAACGCCATCTATTGATATATTAATTACAGTCGATTGTTAGTGTGGTTATTTAAACCGAAACGGAAAAGTAAATGTTGGGGCAAAATGTAGAAATGTCATATGTAGTTAATATCGGCGGCGTTCGTCGTGGTTGTGAGCATTATAACTTAGAAATTTTCACTTTCATGTGTTTGTAAAATATTGTCATCCGTCCACGATATCCGATACAATTCCCAATTTTGAAATGTAGTATATGTTCCCTTGTTCCGGAAAATCTACACCTATTTCAATTGATAATCTAGAGTTTCTTTTATTTTTTTCCAGATTATAGGGGAACCCAGAGCAATAGCGAGTAAGTATATTTTGCAAAATTATCGCCAACAGCATAAATCGACACAACACGAAAAAATACATTTCTCGTATTTGATTGATTATATAATATATAATCATAATTTCACATGACATTCTATCATGAGACCAAAGAATGCTTGATTCTGAATCCCATTAATTTATCAAACCCACTAATTATCTGCTGTTTGGATTGCTCTAATCGTGGCATATACATGTACCTGTAATATTCCATTTTAACTCCAAACGGTTTATCCTTATTATTTTGATTTTTGTAAGGCATTTGAAATTGCCGTTTTACATCTTCTTTCAACAAAGAGAAACATTGAGAATTCACATGTTCTGGTTTTAGTTATGTCGGTAGAGCAGGACATGCTTACCCTTTTCGCGAACACCTTGTGTCCTCACTGCGCAATGAGCTTCACAGTGAACTGTTCTCATAATTTTCCCGCTCTTTATCCTGTTTCGGCCAATGGAATCAGTGTCGGCGGAAAATTGAAGGTGATTTTTGTCTGGCGTTGACGTTTTATGTATTTTTTACATTATCAATTTTACGTTATTAATATAATATATATCTTGCTTTTTGAAATTCAATATGTCAACATTCGTTGGCGATTTACATTTACTTTACACACACGCACACGCACACGCACACGCACACACGAACATTTATATTTATGTATTTATATAACCATATTGAAGATGTTTATGTAAATAATAACGTAGGTAACTAAGACCAAAGAGGATTTGCTGAGCCTTGCTTCTGTTGACATACATTGTGTTTTATATCAAAAGACAATAGGCTTAGAAGCTTTAAAATACGCTGCGATGTAAATGAACATTAAGTTTTTACTCGCGTATGAGATCATCTTAAGATGAATAAGGCTTAGCACAGGGCCATATTTTTTTCTCTTTTTTTGATTAAACATTTGTCACATAAACTGCTTGAGCGTAGATTTCTTGTAATTATGGAAAGTGTTCTGTCGGATTTATGTATTTATTATGTCTTACACTCAGAACAATGTATATATTATTTAAATACATACATCGACCAACAGATGACATTCTAGATCCGCCTTATACCTCTACAACGTTCTATAGTTAGATTAAAAACATTGAATTGGGAACGTAATATAAGGGCATATTTGTCATACATGTAACACTGGAATAACATTAAACTTTTAATATGATATCAATGTAGATGGAAATATGTGGCGAAGTGAAGCCGACGTCAAGACATAGACTCTAGCTGTTTAGTCTGTGCCATCAGTCTCGCCATTTGAAAGTCCGTTTCTGTCTTCGAAAGTGTTCATGAATAAAACGATTGCACGAACGAATCACTCGACCAGAAATCAAACTTCTGTAAATATGTTATAATACCTGTTTTATAGCTAAAATGGATGGAATTATCATTAAACTGCCCGCATGTTATCAGAAATAAGCGGGACACTGTAACTTGAATAATGCCCTCATATTGCTTAACAACGGGCCATTTTCACGCCGGTTGTTAGGTGACGTCATAACAAATAGTAATAACCCAAGTATGACGTCATCTGGTTTGGTCTGTGACGTTTCAATATGTGTAAAAGAGGGTCGGTGACATTCATTGTGTGTTGATTGCAGTAAGTGTTTCAAAACCGACATTGTTGTTATTTTTTATTTAAGGATTGATTTTTTTCGGTTCATTGAGGTATGAATCGAAAAACCGATGTGCAAACTTTTGTAAGAATCCGCTAGGCGGATTCATAAAATTTACACATCGGTTTTTCGATTCATACCTCAGTGAACCAGAAAGAAATACACAGTCAATGCTTATAATTAAATTCGAAAACGAAAACATATAATAGTTTAACCAAAAACAGTTGTTGATATAAAAGCAGACAAAAATGACGAGATTGATAAACATTCCCGGTGTATGAATACATACTGTGGCGTGACATGAATCAGGTGATAGCACACAATGTCATGTGTTAAGCACGATTATCTGTTGATTCTTACTTTTTCAGTATTTCGGGAGGTACAATAGAATATATTTGGTGATTAAACTTAATTTTCATCTTCTAAACGTTTAGGACAAGGTGTACATACACGTTATTCCAAGATTCATCCAGCAATCATAATTATGTTGCTTGTGCACCGGGACACGGGTGGTGTATATTCGTATCAGTGTGATATGGCTGTACTGATTGTTGTGGAAAGCTATAGCCAGTGATTGCCAAATGGCAGCATATAATTGAGGCGCCCGTAAAATATAGAGAGCCGAGAGCACCGGAATTATTTAGCTTGAGTGTTACCTTAAGAATTGATCGTTCGAGAAGTTTCGTCATGTGACAGTTTCTGGAAGGGTGGCTGTATCTAGAAGAATTAGGGTCAAACATTGTTGAACGTCGTCCCAAATTCGACAACAGTTTGACCCTCACTCAGTGGTGGTTCATAACTCAACGAACTTCTGCAAAAGTGAAAGTCAAACACATTCAACAATTCCCCAAAATCTGCATATCCTTATTATGTTAATCGGGTATTGGTTTGGTTTGTTAAGCGAAAGCCAAGTGTTAGAAACATTATTTGTAGAAACATGAGAACGTAAGTATCAATTAAAACAAAATGTGTCTCATTAAAACCTGTGTAGTATTCACTTTTATTATATATGGTGTACCATTAACATTCCATTCACTCTCTTTTCATGGCAGTTCTTAAGGTTCAAAACGCCTGTTCATGGAACAGATTGACAACCACTTTTGTTCAAATGGGGGAGGATTTCTATGTAACTTCCCTTTATGAGGGTGAGAGTTTGGCGGATGATCTTGGCGTCAACGAAACCTTAATAGGTGAAGGACCAAGTGGCTTTCCAGATTCTAACCTATACTTCATTGATGTCACATTTGCGCCTGGTAAGTAGTTGCCTATGGGTTTTCTGTAGTTGTTTGTCAACATGATGTCTACGGAAATGCACACTAAAATGATGAATTTAACTAAATCCATGTATTTACTGTTTCGTATTTTTTTATATTTTAAGACATGTATATATTGACAAACCAAACTCCTTTATATATTCTCAGCAGGGCTTTTGATAATTTAACTTATTTCATTTTGTGACTGTATTTCATAAAAACAAAGCTAGTTATAGTTCGATATGTTATATGTTGGCTATAGCGTCCTTCTTAAACATACAAAAATACTAAAATATTGCGAAATCGAAATTGATAACCTATTCAGGGTCACCTATAGAAATGTTTTTCTTACAGGGAAAACTACTCCAACCGTTTTACACAGTGTAACTGAAAAGATCTTGAACCTAAGAGCAGAGGATACAAGATTAGCTTTCTACAAAATCCTTGGACAAGTTCCAGCGCGGGTGAGTCAAAAGGAAGGTGCAATGCACCCCTGAAACTTGCAATCTGTTTTAATCTCTGGATGCTCAGTTGACATTCTATTCCTTGCACTGAAACCACCATTCGAAAGGTCATGCGGAACGAGGTCCATCTTGTACCACGGAATTCTGCATAATAGTAGCACATTGAATTTGCCTATCTCATTGTGTAACAATAATTGCACTATAAGCAATTCCGAAAAGATATTGATGTCTGTGTTAAATGTTGTCACGAGTTTGTTTTGCTTCCAAAAAGGGCCTTTAAGCTACGTTAAATCGTACATTTATAAACTACACAGTGCAAGGAAATGTTTAAAGGTGCATATTAATGAGTAAACCGGTGACGTCATGTAAACACCACCCCCACCTCCCAACCTAAAAAAACATAATATGTGTTACGGCTCCAATCGTTATCCTGCGGTGTACGGTATATCTGCAGTTTAAGAATAGCATTTATCACGATATATACGGCAATCGGTGATTTCAACATTGTTTTCTTTGTTGTGTTCGTCTTGCCTTCATCTGGAATCTGGATGACAACGATCGTGTAAAAGACCCTGGTAATGGTCAAAAATATTTTCATGTGAGAAAGAATTTATTTTGTCTTTTCCGTGACATGTTTTCATTGCCCAATGTGTTTTTGCAAAGTCACAATTGTCCGAAAGCTCCTCATGCTGAAGTTACTCGATCCGTGAAACTTGGCGGTACGTCCCGGTGACCCAGATTCCCTGTTGATAGGCATTTGCATAAGGCCATCCATATTTTTGTAACTGTTTCTCCCCTCAAGCCTCAACTAACCAGAGAGCGAAAAAAAGATATATTACTTATAAAAAAAATGTCTTTCAATAATTGTGTAAGTTATTTTATGACATTTAAAAAAAAAGTTTGAACACTTGGTATTAGAATTTAGTCTATGAATTAATTTATGATATAGATCGTTTCGCTTTGCTTCGGAAACGATTTTTTTTATAAACAACTGAAGAGAGATAAAGTTGACCTGGTTCTTTTATGACGGTGCAATGGTAGACCTAGCAGTATTTCTTTTATTAGATCGGTGCGCAATTTTCCACAGCGGCAGCAAATTTGAGACACGAAAACTCTATAATATTTCACGTCGGAATTGGGATAAAAATATTAAAATACGAACAGCCTCACATACTTCCAAACGATGTTCAGATAAGTATTTGTTCACATTGATTCTGTCATGGATTTCAACATTATTTTCATCAAGCTTATTCAGGTCGCTGGCTACACAGATCATCCTCTCTTGTAAATTACTTCAGCATGAACTCATGTTTTGTCTCGAAGCTCAAAGCAACAATGTTTTTTCTCAGATGCATTTTGTCTCCAGCCATGATGAGTATCTGTCATTATGTCAATGCCTCGACAATCTTCCTCGTCAGTTGAAATCAACAATGTAATACACAAGGCCTCATCCTCCGATTCCTTCCAAAATACCCACCACGTGATCAGGGTTACGACCTTTGGATGAACTAATAAATAAATTTGCATTTTTAGAAAAGAAATGTTATCGCGAATATTACCATTAAAAAATATCCTGTACATGGTACTTTTTGATTGCACAGCGGATTTCTCTTATTACTTCCTAAAACTATTTGTTTTCCCCCATTCTGACCACGCGATCTCCAAGCAACCTTCAGTCTTCAATATGAACAACAAAACATTTTCATGAGAAGCTTAAGTTGACGGAGAGTTGTTCGCGATGGTCAGGGAGTTTTTGGTAATTTAGATTAAGACATTGGTGACTTTATCGTGGAGAAAGTTCCAATTCACGTTGATGACATTCCGACCGTCAACTCGCCTCTCTTCCCGCCCTTGTAAGTGCAACAGAAAGTTTGACAAATTCAGTGCCGATTCTTGGGATTAGTGAATCAGTGTCACAGCAAGATTTCATTGGAGAACCAGATGAAGCCGAATTTGTATGTTCACACTTCAAAAAATACATGGGACAAGTGTGGATCTAATAATCAAACTAAGTTTTGTGTGTGAAATTTCTGTGAAAGGAAAGGAAATCCATAGTTAAAGTTGTCTTGGCATATGTGTATTGGAGTTTTGATTTATCGTAAGTACAATGTTACCTAGATAGGCCTAATGTAGGTCAAAACATCAGGTATATTTCGTTACTTATATATTAGTTGCTTATGTGCATTGTTGTGTTGATAGATGTGACATATTCATATAATGTAATCAAGCCAAGAAAGATTGGCGCAACTTCTGGTGCTTCAAATTAGGCCCCTTCCTAGACACTAGTTGAAACATCTGTGTAATAATTAAAGTTTTATAAATATAATCTGATTATTGTGTAGTATAGATCTGACTGTTGAATCCAAATGTCCCAAACTAAACAAATATCTATATATATTTGTGGATTGAACTAAAAAAAATTGTCGTCAAATTCGTAATATTGTGTATAGGGACTGTCACATAAACCGAAACTGTTGTTCTGCCGTAAAAATATACAAACAATTCACTTTGACCACAAATGCATTGAATGTGTCACATGTATACATGATGTGCTTTGCTATTTTTGTGCGACCGTAAATAAGCTCTGCCCACTATGATTGATGCAGAAGCCAAACACGATCGATTCTATTTTTTATGATAAAACTACAGAAAGGTTATTGACTTATATCTAGATATGCAGCCATTTGTGGTATCCAGGGTTTGTCATTCAAGTTGATACGAAGTTTGACGGTCAATGGTGATCTTGTTTGCGTTTCAAAACGCTTCTCCCGACACGCGGTTGTGTTTACATGATCAGTCATTGTTCGAAACTGAAACACCGCCACCTTGCCGGCTATTTATAGTCAGGGTTTGGCTTTAAGAGGCTGCTCTTTGATCTTTCATAATCATATTTTAAAAAGCAATATTTTTTGTCTATTCTTTACAGTCTGATCAAATCTCAAACAGTTATATATTCATAAAATGCTCAATGTTAGAACAACATTCAAGCATTCAAACATTCAAAAAGTCACTTGATTACAACTGTATCGTAGCTATTGTGGTGGACAGAAATTTTAATCAGAAATTGATACACATTGTGTAATATAATGAAAATGCGTAGAAGAGACACAGAGAACTGAGGCATATATAACGTAAACAATCTGGGATCATACAGATTTTGACGTTATTCACCTGAATTGACTGTGCCTAATGACGTCAATGATGCCTTAGAAATGTCCTTCAGAAAACTTTTATTGCACTGAAAATAGTGTGTTGAAGAAAAATGGATAATGTTTATCCGGAATTCATGGTGTTGGATAAACCGCCGACTCAACAAAAATGGCCTTTACCTCGTGAGCAGTATTCCACCTAACGCAGAGGCAGCAATTCCATTTAGTAACATAAATCGTTGTCGTCTTCCCATCACTGTCCGTAAAATATTAATGCTACAGTATACTTTTAAGCCACTTGATAAAAAATGAGACATGAAATATATGAAATTTGTCAGAATATTATAGTAATTTGATATCTATAGTCTATATATATAGTATATAACTGTTGATATAACATTACTAGAATTATTTATACTCTAAAGAAAGTAGGAGATCATGACGTATAAATGTCAGACCCAGAACATTGCACGTCGACAGTGCAATTCTTCCATGGACGTCATCGCTTTATGCCTGGAAAAATGCCGATGCGACGTTAAATTTTAACTGACTCACTTACTCACTCCATGCACGTGAGTTTGGGGGTCATTCTTGATTTTGGCAATTCAGTGAAAGGTCTGTTTGTTTTAATCTCTGGCTACAAATTGTCAATAACCACCAATGACTAAAGGGATTGTGTAAATCCTGTGGGAGACCATGCAGGTACTCGAGGTACTGGAAGCCCAAGGACTAAACTTTCGCTGCTGGTGATCTATATAGCCCGATTTTATTATGTATGGTTGTAAATAGTCATATTTTATGTTTGCATGCTAGTTTCAAGCACAAATATACAGTATACTCCAGTTGTTTTACAGTCCATTGTCGATTTTTTTTATCCACAAGTGGGGTTGGGGATATAGGAACGGTGGAACGCTTCTCAAAAGGGATAAATTTTCTCAAAAACTATTTAAGTAGACAAATGAATTTTACCCACAATTTTTACTGTTCATGGTCTTGTTCAGGGGTTACTGGTCATGGTCTTGTTAAGGGGTAAAAATGCATCCCCAAAACTTGCAACAAAATAACCATGTAAATAATGATTACCATTGCAATAATGATTCAATAAAAGGGATGGTGCCAGGCTGTCTGAAAGTGGAAGAGAAAACCAGAGGGAGTCGATAGACCCCTGTTATTGGTGTGGTTGTTTTGAGACTGTCGGTGCCATACAAATTGATTAGCAGGGATAGGATACTTTCAGCATGAGAAACCAAACAGTGTGATGCAGGAAATCAATAAAGGAATGGCAAATCAGCCAGTAGTTCTCGGGCTTTTTCGGATTACGACAAATATGAGTTCATGATATGATACAATTTTTTAATGAATCATATTGATGTATTAAGACATGTGACAAAGACAGACCCGGCTCGAACACGTCAAGCAGATACATTCAACACAAGCAAAGTAGTGTGGGCTTTGCAGTTGACTGAAGCACATCACCAACTCTCTGTTTTCCTTGTTTATAAGTTGTATTTTGAGTGATGGACTGAATCTTAGTATATTTATGCGAGTATGAAACCTTGATATGTTGTTATCCTTGTGTGTGGCGGCCAATAGATGAAATTTTGTTATTGTAAAGATTGTGTGATTTGACATTAAACGTATGTAGTACGACTTCCAGTGATTATATTTATGAGGTTTGGTGGGGCATTAGTTTTACTGGACTCTAATTACTTTATGATGGTTGGGTCTCTTTGTCTCAGCTCGGTAGCCACGACGCTGAGAGAGAGCAGCATTTATTTAATGAGAGTAGGTTATATCGTGGAGGACACATTTGAGGGAGAGGTTCTACTAATTGCCCTACCGCAGGAAAAG